CTCGCTTCATATGAGGCCAAAAGAAAAGAACAAAGAAACGTTCTTTTAACATATCTAAAGTTTTAGAAATTCCAAAATGCCCCATTAAGCCTCCTCCATGTGATTCACGCGCAAGTAATTCACGTAAAGAACATTTATGAATGCAAAGTTTGTTTTCCCAAAACAAGTAACCATCATGCCGATAAAATTTTTCAAACGTACCCTTTTCACAAGTAGAAAAATACTACCAAAATCATTCTCATAATATGCTTAAATCCTAGAAATTTAGCACTAAGAGTAGAAACAAGAACATACCTGCGTGACAACGCATCGGCTACCGCATTGTCATTACCTTGTTTGTACTAAATTTCAAATGGAAACATCTCAATGAACTCTACCAAACGTGCATGCCTATGATTCAACTTACCTTGATCCTTTAAATGCGGAACCACGATTCGTGGTCCATATGGATGACAAACTCTTTGGACCACAAATAATGCTTCCACATCTCCATTGCTCTCACTAAGGCATATAGCTCTTTGTCATAAGTTGAATAATTCAAAGCTGAACCGTTGAATTCTCGCTAAAGTATGCAATATGTCGTTTGTCTTGCATCAGAACAAGACTTATACCAATACCAGAAGCGTGAATTCAATTTCAAGGGTTTTAGAAAAATCTGGTAGAAGTAATAATGGAGCGGAACTTAGCTTTTCTTTCAAGGTGCGAAACGCTCTTTCTTGTGCTTCTCCCCACTCGAAGCCAACATCTTTCTTGATGATTTCGGTTAAAGGAGCTGCAATTGTGCTAAAATTCTTCACAAATCTCCGGTAAAATCCAGCTAGACAGTGGAAACTCCTTACTTCTGAAACGATTGTTGGAGTGGGCCATTCTTTGATGGCTTTGACTTTCTCTTCATCCACTTCAACACCCCTAGCACTTACAACAAAACCAAGGAAAACAACTCTATCCAAATAGAAAGTGCACTTCTTTAAGTTAAGCATATAACTTTTCTTGTCTTAAGACTTCAAGCACACATCTCAAATAGTCAATATGATCAAGCAAGTTTTTACTGTAAACTAAGATTTCATCAAAGTATACAACAACAAAGTTTCCAATATAAGCATGCAAGACATGATTCATAAATTGCATAAAGGTACTAGGTGCATTAGTTAAGCCAAAAAGCATTACTAACCACTCATATAATCCATGCTTCGTCTTAAAAGCTGCTTTCCATTTATCTCCTTCTTTCATGCAAATATGATGATAACCACTTTTTATGTTAATTTTAGTAAAAATAGCGGAACCATGTAGTTCATTAAGCATGTCATCTAATCGAGGAATAGTGTGTTGATAGTTAACCGTTATCTTATTCATGGCTCGACAATCAATGCACATCCTCCATGTTCCATCTTTCTTAGGAACTAGCAAAATAGGTATAGCACACGCAGTCGTGCTCTTACGGACGTGTCCTTTAGTGAGCTCTTCTAATTGCCGTTGCAATTCTTTAGTCTCTTCAGGACTACTACGGTAAGTTGGGCGGTTTGGAATTTGAGCTCCGAGAATAAAATCGATTTGGTGCTCAATTCCTCTAATTGGTGGCAAACCCGATGGTATTTCTTAAGGGAAAACATCACCAAACTCCTGCAAAAGTGAAACAGCTACACTAGGCAAAGAAGAATCAGGGTTAGCATTAGAAAAAATATGTTTCTCTATGCAAAAATAAGATCATCATTTTGTTGGAATTACAAGTGTTTTTCATTTCTCTCTCTTTTGCATAAAAACTCATTTTTCTTTCGTCCTTCTTCACTTGGGCTGAATTCTCTTGTTTTTCTTCCTCATCCCTCAGTATATTCCTAATCTATTCACCCTCTTTTCGGTCATGCTCAACCTTGACCACGGTTTCAAGTTGCTTTGTGTTGGTAGCAACGGACTTCTTGATTTGATTCTGCTCCTCGTACACGATGAGGTGGCAATTGTGCAAGTGTAATACTTTTCCATCCTTGATAAAGATGTATCTTCTCATAACCATCATGAGTAGTGCACCTATCAAACTGCCATGGCCTCCCAAGCAATATATGACTCGCTTGCATAAGAACAACATCACATAAAACTTCATCATTGTATTGTCCAATGGAAAAGGAACTTGTACCTGCTTGATTACCCTCATCTCTCCACTTTCATTGAGCCATTGAAGCCTATAAGGCCTCGGGTTTCTTATGGTACGCAGACCAAGTTTTTCCACCATCAATTTGCTAGCCATATTAACGCAACTGCCCCCATCAATTATCAAACCACAAACTCGTTCTTGTACATGGTAGTGAGTGTAGAAGATGTTTTCTCTTTGCATTTCATCACCCTCTTCTTTAGCTCGAACATGGAGAGCTCTCAAAACAGCTAATACAATGCCATTAACAGCATACTCCACGTCACTAGTTTCCTCAAGAAGCGACATGGACTCACAATCTTCCTCCTCTTCTGACTCAATATCACAACTTTCCAATAAGATCATGGTTCGCTTGTTTGGACATTGTGAAGCAATATGACTTGATCCCAAACAACGAAAACACTTAATGTCACGAGCCCTCTGAGATTGTGAAGATGAATTACCTCTCTCTTTGTTCTCGGGTTGAGTCTTGGCTATGGGTTTCTCTTCTTTTTGTTTGAGCACCGTTTGCTCATCTTGCCTTGAAGAAAAGCGCAATTTTGGCTTCCAACCAGATGAACTCGTGGCTTCTACTTTAGATGATGAACGGCCCCATTTTTTAAGTTGCCTCTCAACTTTCATGGCCATGTGCACTACATCCTCAAATTCCACATAGTGTTGCAATTCCCCTACGTTGGTAATTTCTCGATTTAAACCACAAATGAATCTTGCTGTAGCTTCTCAGTCCTCCTCCACATTGGCCCTAATCATGGCTATCTCTATCTCCTTGTACTCTTCCATGGACTTAGAACCATGTTTAAGACTTTGTAATTTCAGATGTAAGTCCCGATAATAATGCGAAGGAACAAACCTTTTCCGCATGGCCACTTTCATGTCCTCCCAATTGAGAGAAATGGAGGCTCCCGGTTTCTACATTTACTTATGACCAATTGATCCCACCAAACTATGGCATAATCAGTGAAAGCTACAGCTGCAATCTTTACTTTCTTTTCCTCTGAATAATTATGGCAATCAAAGACAAGTACAACTTTTCGTTCCCATTCAATATAAGTGTCAGGAACATTTTTACCTTGAAAGGAGGGAATAGATGACTTGATTAAACCAGTGTTTTGATCTAGCACATCTCTTTCCCGATGTCTTCTAGCAACATGTCTTGGCCTATGGTACTTAGCTCCTATATTTCCTTCCATACTGGCATTAGAAGCCACATCATTATCAAAATTAGCTTCTTCTTCAATTTCTTCGTCGAAATTATTGGGAATAGGGGGCTGTGGATTTGGTCTTTGTGACCGTGGCACCTGAGTTGGGGTTCCTCGTTACATTTCATTAATGTGTGCATCTTGTCTATCCATCATATCTCGAATTTCCCCAAAAATCATGTTCAAGCGTTCAAACTGTTGTTGGATGGTTGAAAGCATCACGAATTGGTCGGAGTTTTCACCTTCACTACCTTTTTGGGACATAATTAAAAGCTACACAACAATCGTTAGATAAAATAAAGGAACCTCACTCACTCACTCACGTGTTTACCCTCATAAATTGTTCACTCAATCACTCGAGTTTTACTCAATTTCTTCCTTGGCTTTACCCTCTAATGTGCTCACTCACTCTTGCCTTTTTCCTCTCACAAGTTCTCTTCCTAGGTTCTAACGAAACTAATCAATTGATTACCAAAGTGATCACTTGATCAAACCAAACAAATTATAATATTAATCCCTAAATGGTTCCCAATATAGCAAACAGGGAATAAAGGCAAGGAATAAGATCAAAGAAATGCTAGAACACGCAAACTGGAGCAAAAGAAAGAGAACCCCCCCCCCCCCCTTTTTTTTGGCAATAATGAAAGAAAGTTGACATGAACAAAAGAAAAGGAAATGTGCTTAAACGAAGAAAGAATAATTTAGGAAAGGAACAGAAATTGGGAAACAAAAGAGGTTGAAAATAGCAAGTTGTTTAGAATATGAAAATTAATAGTAGGTTAATTGACTCAAGATTGTAGAAGATTAGGTCAACTTTCCAAACTTAAATTGTATTGATTGCCGTTTGTTTCCTAATCTGAATTTTTCGCAACTTTCCTCTTTTCTTACAACTCCTGTTTTTTATATATGAAAATCACTCTCTCTCTCCCCTTTTTTTCTTTTTTGTTTTGATATGTAGATTACTCTACATTTTTATATATAGGATGTAATTTCAGATTAAAGAACAAATAGACAAACAAAAACACTTTAAGGCAAGGAAAAGTCGAACAAGAAAACGATTAAGCAATGACACACTTGAAATTGGAACAAAAATCAAGAAATAAAGCGATGGTTGCAAAGAAAAACAAGGAGACAACAAAATAAACGAAGGATAGACGAAAACCTGTTTTGGAGCCTAGGCTCTGATATCAAATGATGCAAACCTCGACGAACAATGTAGCGAGACTCGACAACAATACTTTGGAATACAAACCTGGATCGTCCACAAACAAGGAATTCAAATGTAAAGAAAGAATATTGACCTCGTGGCTATAAAGAACCAGAAACTAATATTATAAAGGTTTAAAAATCGCAAGTTAGCACTTGGAATTCTTGAAAAGTTGCTGAAGAACAAAGTAGGAGAAAAATCATCTCAATTGTATATCATAAACCGCCCCTTACAATGAGAGTTTCAAGCCTAATTATAATGTTAAGTTAGCTTGTAAATCTAATAAAAAACCTTAATCTCGGATTCCCGTTTTGAAACGTACATAAGTTGGGTCAAAATAGGCTCAAAACAATCAAAATAATTAAAACCTAACATGATATTATTAGAGTCTAGGTCCAAAACCAAATAAGGTCCAAAAAAAACTTATTAAGAAAGAAAATAACTAAATGACTTAACCCAATGTAATTGGGTCTTCACTGGATTGGACTTGAATAAGATTGATGATCTTGGTCTCCTCTTGTAAGCCCAACTCGTTGGAATTAGCCTTGGACTGGGTCTCTTCTTCAAGTACACGTCCTACGAAGCCTTGTATGGCTTGTAGCTTCTTTGCCCGAGCTCTTGTTATAAGGCCAGTTGGTATTTGAAAATCCACGCCTTGTGCATCCACTCCAAGCTCATCTTGGGTTCCTACCTCAAGGTTATGCGTTTTCTCCTCTTCATGTTCCATTCCTCTTAGTTGTCCCATATCATTTCTCCTAGCCTGGATGGGTCACAGTTTTTGTCAAAAGCATAATGCACTGGGAAAAGAAGACAAGGCAAAAAAACACGTAACACATTTGCAACCACTTACCTTTATTCCAGTAGCTATTGTCGTTTTTAACTTGACCAGCTCGCCTAATCTTAAAGAACCTTCTTTTTTATCTTTGATGAAGATGAGTGGCACATTTCTTGAGGCAGCCAAAGCCAGAAGATGTTTTGTCAACCAGTGTAGATTGCAATCAGAAGTAACGGTACTGCCTACATTCATAACAAACGAACTTAATTTTCTTTAAAAAGAGATAAGCATCAATTCACGACATAGCACATATATGCTAATGACAGTCAAACTATCAAGTAATTAGGATATAAAATATTTATGAGAAATTTTCAAAAATGGCCAATTATGCTTGTCAATTGAAAATTGTCTAATTTCGACAACTCTTGCAAAAATGGCCAAATTTGGTATCAAATTTCAAGAGAAGAAGTGACTTCCACAAAAAGCTGCAATGATACAAAGTAACACCTAATGGTTAAATGTCATTTCATTATCTATTAGGTAATAACCAAAGATTTTTTTTTTTGAATAGAAATGAAGATGATGAAATAGAAAAACCATTAACTCACCAAAAAAATTTACATACAAACTTCTCATCAACAATTTTCTATAGAAGGTAAATTTTCTTCGAAATTTACTATTTTTTTTTTTTTTGGTATTGATAAATTGTATTTAATAGTTGTTGTCATATATGTGATGTAAATGGATGATTAGATTTGTCAAACAATTATTAGATATTTGTTGTAAGATTATTGGAGCATTTTTAAATCAAATTCATATTTATTGTTTTGTTTTTCTCAAGCATGGTGTCACAACCCACTTAAATAACTTTGATGGATGTCAAAGTTATTTATTTACAATGGTTGTCATGTATTGACAATATCATTAATGGTGGAATAAATTCCTTGCAAAATAGTTGTTGAGGATGAAGAAGATAATAAATGCAAATGGTGAATTGTCTGACCGACATATCATTCTCGACATTTTATAAATGTCGAGAACTGCACTTCAACTATAATTCTTGACGTTGTTTCAAATGTAGAGATTTATGTTACAAACTTAGCGAGGCTATAGAATATTTGTTTTTACCATTGACCATATTTCTTACGGGTAGAATGTTTATTTTAGGTATTCGTGTTAGCTAATCTTATTTGCTTAGATGACATGCAGATATGGGAGATGTTATGAAATTCATTGTCTCACAATGCATTTCAATAATTAGTAGTCATTCATTGAAGATTACAAAACATAAATTTAGTACAACGATATCAAGACCATTACATAGTCATGTAAATTAGAAACAATGCCAAAGATAAATCATATCGAGGAGTTCGTACACTATCAAACTACATTGACTTCACCACTTCATCAACATAAACAACGACAATAAATATGAGTTTCTTATTTGAAGTGGTCACAAAAATGATGATATAGTTGAGGACATTTACATGTCATCAACAAAGGACAGAGAAGATATCTCACTAACATCATCGCCGTCGGAGCTTATTACAAGACTACACACCAACTCCTACTCTATGTAATTACAATTTACAATTGAATCTAATTGGGATTTGTTTGACATCATAGACCTTGTGTTTGTCATGTGAATAGTAAATTTGTATTTATTACCAACATTCTTTGGTTGAAGTAGAGGTGGCAATCGAACCGAGCTGGCTCGTGGGCTCAGCTCGTTGCCACCGAGCCACGAGCACGAGCCAAGTGGCGGGCTCGCTAGTGGGCTCGTGAAACTAATAGTAAGTGTCCTCGATAATTCAAGCAAACAAATCATAGCGCACAGTTTTTCTTACCTTCAATTTTTACCATTGTTATACATTGAATTATCTTCTAAAAATTTACGACAACTCTCCACACAGTTCCTCTCTGCTCATACAACACTACAAGGAAAACAAACTAAAATTTATTCGCTACTTAGTTTGGGATTTGTTACATGAATAATTTTTCATCGTTCCATTTGATTTATTGCTAGATCTAGGAAATCTAAAACAATTAGATCGTTAACAATTATATCAGGTAATGTTAATTTTCAGTCGACACTCCATATTCTCTCACTAAAATCATGTCACTATCCTGAAAGGGGATCTTTTTTAAGTCGACACAAAATATGTGACAACCACTCAAGTCGTCTGTTCTTAGCCCCCGTTTGAGCCCCATTAAATTAAATTTCATTACATTTATGTTTTCTCTCTCTTCATTTCAACTACACATTCATCAAATAAAATAATATTACACACAAATCAAAAAAATTTCAACCACACATTCTCCCATCAATCACTATTCTAAAAATTTTCAACCCCCAAAAATCCAAAATAATGCGGCCAAACAGGGGCCAAATTACTAGGAGCTCGAAGTCATCCGTTAGATATCCCTATCGGTTTACATACCATGATCTCGTGTGACCAATCTGCAAGTCCTAAATGGACCACACTTGGGACTAACGAGGAAAGGTGACCCTTTGAGAGTATCAAAGAGCTCTTTGATTATGTCGAGTGATCCATAACTTTGAAATAGGTATCCATGGAAATGTCTAATCGAGCTCCTCCATAAATACCATAAAATCTAGTCTGCCGAAGTTAACACACGCAACAAATTCCTCAGAATGGGGGGTGTAACATTGAGACGATAACAATCTTTAGGCTCCAATAATACTATCATGAATCTCGTAAACTTCACTATAATANAACACAATGGATGGTTCAGACACCTAACCTAGGATTAAGTGGCTTCTTGATCATGGTCGTAGGAGAATTATTTACCGAGTGGGATTGATCATCTAATACCATGCATCCTCCATCGCTGCCAGCAAAACCAGTCCACTTCTCCAGGCAAAACATCACTCGTGGTAGCGATAATGAAGAAGAACAAAACCTCTGTAATTTTACAACGTAGTATTGCACTTGAAATGAAGGAAATGTGTGAAATTAGTTAGGGCTTCAAAAGGGGAACTGAAGTAGCGAGAGAGGCCGTAGAGAATGTGAGATTTGAACTGGACCCAACCCATTTTTAATTTTAAACTAACCCGACCCATGCATTTAATTTGGATTGACATTTATACTTTTTGAAATAAGTAGTAGGTTATGTGTCAAAATTTTATTGGGCAACACAATTTCTAATTGTACAATTTTTTTTTTCTTTAGCATGGAATTTAATAATGCTAACAAGGGTATTTTGGTCTAAATTATTGCAAAATGGACATTCACAATTTTTTGGACATTTTTGCAAATGACCATGTGAAAGTGGACATTTCATGCAATTTCCTCAATATTTATTTGAATGGATTCGATAATAGGCACTGCTTGTCCATACATAGGACTAGGACTACAAGACAATGGTAGATCAATGGAGAAACCATTTATGGTTCTCACCGTTTGGCAACTTGATTAAATAAAGAGACATAAACTTCTTTCCTCAAAATGTAAGAAACTAGCCTCGAGAGCAACAGATTTTCGAAAGACTCTCTCCTAATCAAATCCAGCAAATCAAACAAGGTCTAGAAGATTACCCAAGTCATTCAAGTTACCCAAGAAAATGCAATAAGCTAAAAGGATATCAGGCTGCAAGAGGTTTATACACCAAGTCCCTATTTGGAGTCCATTAAAATGTGTTTTTGGGAAAAATGTATTTTGGACTAGTGATTTTTTGAAGAATATGTGGTTAAAAAAGAAGAAAAAATTTTGGGTTTACGTGTAATAATATTTTATTGGAGAATATGTGATTAAGAGGAGGAGAAATAAAAATGCATTTTGCACAAAATGGAGCCCAAACAGGGGCCAAGTTTTGTTATCTTCTAGTTCATGTTTTATTGTGAATTACAAATATGTTAAATCATGCATAAACTGAGAGTACTCTAGTGCTTGAACCATCAATCGAACCATTTTTGGCAATAATCCATCTAATGGTATTGGAATACTAAACCAAGTCAAAGTTGTGTTTGTGTACTTAGATATCTGGGAGTTATTTATGTATTGTTATCAAGTGATGCATGTAATTAAATTATTAAATACACGTAGCATGTAAATGGCCATTTACTACAATTTTCCCAAGGAAGCAATAAAAAGGTCAATGTCACTTATTAAAGCAAGAATCCTACCTTGAGATATCCCTTGCGATTTCTTCTTCTTCTTATTCATCTAGTTCACTTGTAGCCTACTGGTGGCCCCACTACTCTCAAGAACCCATAAATAATCATGTACTATCAAGCATATTTCTTCAAGCTTAATCCAAGAAATCAAAGTAAGTTTTCTCTTGAATTAACCTAGCCCCCTCTTAGAATTATTTTTCAAGTTCCAGTTCCCTACAACTAGCTCTTGCAATGAAAATAAAAAGGCTTTCAATCTAAATGAAAACACTTCTGAATCTGTCAAAAAGAGAATGCAAAGTGCAATAAACTCGGGTGACTGGCAAATAAGTAACCTGAAGTTGAATGGAAGGTGTTTTTCTACCATCGAACTTGCTGGAATTGAGAAGATGGTCCGGGGAACAAATTTTAGTCCCAAGATTGGAGGCCATACGTTCATTCAAGCACCCGCGTTACCTCATTCACCCTGATTGAAAATTGTTTCTGATATATAAAAAAATATAGTCACTCAAGAAAGGGGGAAAAGAAAATGAAAGAAAAAATAAAGGGGAAATGAGTTGAAATGGCCACCATTCATAAACATTTTGTCCAATTGGCCTTTGACCAAAACTATAAAAATAAAAGAAACTTTAATTATTTAGAAGTGTCAAAAGACTTCTTTATCCTTATATTGTAAAACAAAAATGAAGAAGGAATTGAGATTTTTCTTCACTCGTTCATGTCTAACACGCACAGTCTTCTCTTCATTATATTCAAAAACATAAATGGAGACGCCACCTTTGACGGTCGACAACTCCGGCCAACCACTACCCAAACCGCCGGACATCCATACCACTAGACAACCCTCTCATTACCCTCTACAACCCCCCCACCCAACAATAAGCTTCAAATCCTCCTGAAATCGCCCAAAAAGTGAGCCAAAATGGCATGCACGTGTTCTAAAAAACGGTTGGAATCTCCAACTCCGGTAAACCCCATGTCATGCCCAGCATTCCAGTCGATTAAACACATCAAGGCCCCCCCTGTCCATGGTCACCAAGCACTCTACAATGTACAGAATCAAAATTAGGAAGCTGTTCCAACACAATCAACATCCCGACTTTCAGATCAATTTTTCGGGGTCGTTGGTGGGACTCACGATTGTGGACCACCACTACAAGCACCTACTCTTCATGACGCATCTAATGAACATATCGGTCTTCCTCAATTTGGTTGGGAATTGGTAGTTTCTTTAGGGACGTTGAACGCGTGCGGTAATAGGTCCGATCCACCTCCAATTGATGTCAATCCACTGCCCCAATCCACAAATTGCACCCACCAACATTCAACTCAAGTTGTTACGACCATGGGTCATGAATCAATTGTTTAATTTCATCAACCAAATGAAAAAAAATTTGGACTTGGCATCAAGAACTGCCCGACCGAGCGAAGGTGAAATTTTTCCATCAATTTGTGGCTCCAATGTGGCCCAACATACAAATCAACTTGGGGAAACTCAAATTCATGTTCAAACAACACTTGGCAACCCCTCAATTGCAGAAATTACAGCTCTCATTTGTCAAATTATGGGGTCAAAGGCGGGTCTTCATACACCGCAAGCTGCTGGCACGTTTTCTTCAAATTAGGGGCAGATTTTGAGCAAATTAACAAAACCATTGGATCAAGCAAGCCCAAAAACATTAGGATGCAGCTCCAATTTGGCCGTTAGTAATGGATTGGAATTTATATCATAAAACACTTAAATCGAGGACGTTAATCATGCTGTTTGTGGATAGAATCTAGCTAATTTAGCACTTCCAATAGAATTGTGCCATCAAAATAATTTTTTAAAGTCATTTTATGATTCCGTGTTTATTTTTTTTCCAGATTAAAGGTAAATGTCATTTACATCGTTACAATAGATGTAAAAATCGTTCCAGTACAAAAATGCACTCATTCGAAAAACAATAATGAAATTGTTCCTGTAACACAAAACGATATAGAAGTCATTTCAATATAAAAATTACACTGACTAACATAACGATATTGAAATCGTTCCTGAAGCACAAAACGATTTATATATCGTTTTAGTATCAAATATGCACTGCTTGACTGATTTTCATAACGACATAGAAGTCGTTTTACCGATATGGCGAGCGCCTAGCACGAGCTAAGGTGCTCGTCAACTGTAAATGGTTACTCTCAGTACCTCTCATTAGCTGGCCAGGGGCAAACGCCAGCTCTGTAGTCTTACGCGTGTGTTGACTGACTTTTTTTCTTCAATTTAGTCTTTGAAGTAATTGCAGCCAAGATCCTTCCACTTTCATCTTGCAAGTCTTTGAATTTTAAATTTTCTTTCAATCATGCCCTCTATAAACTACAACGACATAGACTATATCGTTTCATTTCATTAAAAATGATATCGTACTCGTTTAAGTCAAAATCGTAACTAAAACAACATTTGTGTCGTTTCTTTTCATATCAAACGACAATGACATACATATCGTCTCATTACAAATTTGACGAGTTTGAAATCGTTTCAGTTAAAATCGTAACTAAAAGGACATATATGTTGTTTCTTTTCACATGAAATGACAATCATATCGTTGTACTCTCAAACACACGAAATAATATAACGACATCCATATTGTTTCAATACATATTTGACGACAATGATATTTTTGGTTAACCCACGAAATAACGTAATGACATTCATATCGTTTCGGAACAAATTAAACGAGTTTGAACTGGTTTCAGTTGAAAACGTAATTAAAACCACATATATGTTGTTTCTTTTTACATTAAATGACAATTATATCGTTATAGTGTCAAACACACGAAATAACATAACGACATCCATATCGCTTGGGTGTAAATTTGACAAGTTCGAAATCATTACAGTTCAAATAATAACTATAACGACATTGATAGTGTTTCTTGTAAAACGACAAATATATCTTTGAAGTGTCAAACACACGAAATAACATAACGACATACATATCGTTTTAGTGCAAACTTGACGAGTTCGAAATCGTTACAGTTCAAATAATAATTACAACGACATTTATATCGTTTCTTTTCATATAAATTGACAACTATATCGTTATACTTAAAAATGACGATCCAACCATCCGCAGCCACCCGACATACATTTGTCGTATGTATGACGATAAAAATAGGTCATCAAGCGAGTTCGATCTCACTCAAAACAAACAATGGGAACATTTGTAATCCATACTTGTCTACCACCTTTGAGTTGTTTGAATGGAAAGAAAGTATCTCCCTTCGCTCTTTCTTAGCCATTCAAGTGCTGATACCCACTTGATGTCCTCTTTCGATTATCGTATATATGACGAATGTATGTTGAATGCCCATAGACAGTCGAATCGTCGTTTTTAAGCATAACAATATAGTTGTCGTTTTACATTAAAAGAAACGATATAAATGTTATTATAGTTATTATTTGAATTGTAACGATTTCGAACTCGTCAAATTTGCACTGAAACGTATGGACATCCATATTTTATTTCATTTGTTTGGCACTACAACAATATAGTTGTCGTTTTACATGAAAAGAAACAATATCAATGTTGTTATAGTTTTTATTTGACATGTAAAGATTTCGAACTCGTCAAATTTACACTGAAACGACAACTATATCGTTATGCTTAAAACGACGATTCAACCATCCACGGCCACCCGACATACATCCGTCGTACGTAGGACGATAAAAATAGGTCATCAAGCGAGTTCGATTTCACTCAACATAAACAATGG